AGAAAGTAAATACATATAAATAAGATGTCAAAACTCGACCTTTCTGTAACTGCCAAAATACATTGATCCTAGGTTTATTTGCCCTTTTTTGGTTATTGTGTGTTAAATATGGGCCCCTAGCTGATGACAAGTGTACAATGCCGTATGTCATGTGGTGCCATAGACATCAAAAGATATTTCAAGGAATAGCTGCAACTGCAAAGGTTAAGGTTAATACTATATTTAGTTCTTAAAATTTGATTTCATTTTAGTTTTAGTTCCTGAAATTTGAAACCAATGGTTTAGTCCCCGAAATTTAACTTTGTTTTAGTTTTGGTCCCTAAAATTTAAAATCAATTATTTTGGTTTCTGAAATTTGACTACATTTGAGTCTCTCTAAAGTTTTTGGTCCCTAAAATAGTGTTTTTGTTCTCTAAAACAACAAATAAAACTAAATTAAGTCAAATTTCATGAACTCAAACCACTGGTTTCAAATTTCAAAGACTAAAACTAAAATGATGTCAAAGTTCAAGGATTAAAATTGCTGGTTTCAAATTTTAGGGATCAGAAGAAAAATGATATCAAATTTCAAGAATTAAATATAATAATCCTAACATGATTTAAGAATTGAAGATCAAATCAGAATTAGCAAGGGACTGGGCTATTATTACCACGGAAAGAACATTTTCTTTCAACTAGAATTATTCCATTAATGAACAAATGCAGCGCAAAATTTGTATTGTAAAATGGGGGGAACATTTGAAGCACAAAGGCAAGAATTTATCATCATTCGGCAGAAAATAATTGTTAAATCACAGATGTATGTCATAGAAATTAAGGTACAGGAAATATAATAGGTCTCATGATACGAAGACCATTCCTGTACCCGCACCGATAGAGTCCACAATAGCAGATATGAGGAATTTCTACAGTTGTTTCCTATTTGCACGATATAGACATCGCAACGTATGTACAGCTGAGTAGTTTACGCACACTCAAGCGTATATTATATGTACGGAATACTAAGGTCCTATTTGTTATGAAACATTCAGAATCAAAGGTAAGGATTGAGATTAAAATTGGAAAATCCCACTAACAAAAATATTTAGTATAAGATATTACTTTTTACTTGGAATTGGACAAACTAATATATATGGAATTAGAGAATACAAACACTCAAATGGTTTTTTTCAATCTCAATCTCAATTCTTACCTCTTATTCTCAATGCTTTATGTCAAATGGGACCTAAAAGTCCATTTGATACTCTAAGAATCTGGTGAAGGAAAAGGAACATTGTGAGTTTCCATCTATGACACACTTCTGGTTGGTAAATTTTTCGGGAACCCAATTTTTAACTATGGTAAATTTTCCTTTATACATGGGAAGCATGGTTCCCACCTTTTTCGGCCGGAACCTATTTCCCAACATGGTAGAAAAACTTTAAAGACAAGTTTGCCCTTTAATATTGTTGTTTCAAGGTCTAGTTCTTCTTCTTGTTTAGGCCTCTGGCTCTTCTTTTTTAAGAAGACGGTTAAGAGAGTGAAGAGGGGTACTGCAATGAAGATGAAAGTGGTAAGGGATTGGGAAAGGCATGCTTCCCACTAATTTTTATGGCCAACGATGTCCTCAGCTTTTTTTATGAGATACTCTAAAGGTTGAAGACCCAGCAATATGTTCGACCTAAAAATGAGCATGAAGACTTCTGTTAAAGATGTGACTTGGAAGCAAAGAAACAAATTCAACAAAGCTAATCTTGAAAAAGAAGAAGAAACTAAAGAAGCAGAGTGTTGAATTATATATCGAGGGGAAGGATAAATTATATACGCTCTGTTTCATACTAGCAAACAGAGACATTAAGTTTAATAAAATAAACAAGGAGGAAACAAGATGAGAGTCACTATGCTATCATTCTTGTAGAGCAGTGTACATGAATTGATGCTTTTAACCCAAAGTAAAATATTTTTATCACTTGATATTGATATGAGAAGGTTGCTGCTTGAGAAGAATGAGTTTAACTCATGCAAATTCAAATTTCACACACTTGGTTGGTTGAAGCAAAGGCTAAATTTGAATTTAGATTTCCAAACTCATATTTGACATTATAGAAACAAACTCTAAATATGAATTTGGTTCACCGCATGATTCAGAAATAACTGACCAAATTCAATTATGATTTTCAAAATCGTTTGGTCTTGACGTTCTGAGTAGGGAGTAAAAATCCAAGTTGGTAAAGGTAGTGAGAAATATAGTGGCTAAAAACAAAACTTTAGAGACATTCACAACTACAAACATTTGAAAGAGGGAGTTGTTGCAAGAAAATATGGGAGATATTTCTAAAATAAGCTCACATTAGTTCAAAGCTGCAAGACTCAAACAATCCATTTAAAGATTTTCTGCACCTTGTTAGTTAATTTAGTTGTTTATTTCATTTTTATTGTTGTTAATTAGTGCAAATATATAAGTTCATAAGTATCAAAATAAAAAATATTCAATCTGGTATCTTGATAGACTTCATATTATTATTTTAGTGTTAAATGTCACCTCACCATTAATTTTACCTGTTAAATTTTACTGACATATACACATGACACTCGCTAAACACACGTCATCATCCAAAATCTAATAATTGACAGTTCACTCAGTTTCCACTAACTCCTCTCCTCTCTCCCTCCTCCTTTTCGGATGGAAACGCCAAATTATGGCAAGAAATCACAAATCCTTTCTTCCTTCTTCAAACCTCCTCCAAGAAAGCATCGTGGCATTTCTTTCCTTGTGCTTTCCACCCTAAGGCAAGACCCTCTCCCCTCGTTCCCCACCGACGACATCAGAATGGTCAACTCCGTCTGCTTTTAGTCCATCGAGACCCCGAGCCCTGGTTCATGGTGTCATCAGAATCTGCGGCCAACTTCACGACAAAGGACGATGCGAATGGAGAGTGGTTCACAGTACGAGGTCATTAGAGAGGTTTTTCTTCAATCTGAGCAACACCATGTCGATCCTGGAGCAATCGAAGCAGGAATGGGGCTTCTCTTCAAGGTGAGCGAGGTCCATGCATGTGTGAGCATGAGCGGGGGCTTGCTTTGTAGGGATCTTCCATCTTTATTTCACAATCTAGTGGATTTTAGTGTTACGTTAGTGTGCTTGAACTGTGCCGCAAAATCCAAGGTTGTAAAATTCATGGTTCTATCTTTTCTTCACAATCCATGGACGCCAATGATGATGAAGGGGATAGTTTTCTTTTCAGATTTTCTTCAGACTGTTACTTTTTTTCTTCTTTTTTTTTTTGGTTTTTCATGTTGTTGATCTTTTTCCTCTTCATGGATGCTGATGAAGGGAGTTTTTTTTTTTTATCTTCCCTCCGTTCTTTGATTTTCGCTGATTTGCCCAGTGAATTCAATTACGCAAATTGCAAATTGATCTTCTGCCAGCTAAAATCATAGTGAAAAGGTGGTTTATTTGTGGGGGAAATAATGAATCGAACATATGGGAAGCCAAGAAAGAAGCTGGGTATTAGCATTGAACCTTTTTCTTTCTTTTTGATTTTTGATATAATTTCAGTAAGGAAGATGACGATGTGGCGTAATATGTGGCAGAATATGTCCTACGTGGCAAATCCATGCCAGTATAATTGGTCAACTCACGGTTGACCATTTGGATTTGTTAATACGGGACATTGCTCCGATTTTACAACTTTGAGATGACATTATTCCAACCAAAAAAAAAACGCTTATTGACAACTAGTGCTTTTTCATAAAAACTTACGGAACAAAAATGACTTTCAACCCTATTATTTATATCATTTATTCTTTTTATAAAAATATTTAGTTTTTTTTTGGATGAAAATCTATGATGATTTACATATATTCAATATTTTTATTTTTTTAATGTTTTAATTTTTATTCATTTATTTTTTTGAATTATTGAAATTTTTGACATTATTATTCTGTAAGGTTAAAAAATATTTTTATTTAATAATATTATATTCTCTTAATAAGGGTAATATGATAAAATAATTTAATTTTTCATCCTATTTTCATTCAACCAAACAATTTTTTATCAATTCATCTTTCATTTGAGTGCTCACCAAAAACAGCCCTTTAACCAGAAATTTTCCACTGCATCTCCCCCCCCCCCCAATTCTTTTTAATTCTTTTCTATCCTAACCGGTTCTTTCCACCAAACTGCCCTAATGGTTTTTTATTTTTTATTTTTTTAAACCCTTCTAAGCCTCGTTTCCTTCACACCTTGTAAGGAAATGAAATAGTGTAAAGAACATGTGGGACCCACACTAATTCTTCTTGGTCTTTTCCTCCCCAACTGTAAAACATAATCCTGGTGAAGGAAACCTAGGGATTCATGCCCAGCTATCATTTTCCCACTCCAGTCCGAGCCCATAGGGTTTTGACACCTAGTAAAACTGGGCCAGGTTACCAAATCAGGGTCCAACAGAAGTACACCCCCCAATTCCAACTGATTTATTTAATAACAATACATGAAACAATATAATGTCTTCACCATCATTAAGCCATCAGAACATTATCCAAAAAATAGCTAGAATCACAACAGAAACATTGCTCCTATAATGCATGCTGCAGGAGCACGAATTATGAATACTCAACTAAGGCATTTGGCCGGGAAAACAGAAAAAGTTCGAAACATGCAAAGGGGATCAAAATTCCACTTTCCCTCACAGAATTATCTCTGCAATCGCAAAAAATTTTCAGTAACTGTCATACCTTCCCGATCTCATTTCCTGCCCAAGAGGAAGCTAACTCCTAAAAGAAGGAAAAAACTTAAGTGAAGTTGCTTATATCCATTATACCATCATATATGATCATGTGTCTTTTTGTATCATATGGATTTATAATTAAATGTTAATATTTCAAAAGTGGGACACATGGTCATGTGTGATTAAAAAAAAAAAATTGACATAATAAATATAACTAACTTGATTTAAGTATCGTCCAGATGTAAACTAAGGAATCTGAGTGATGCAAACTATTAATGAAGACACAAGAACGGAAAGAATTCTGGGACTGGCATAATAGAAAACTAATTGTTGAAGTTCAAGTAAACATCTGTTAATATCTCACACATATTGACAAACAAATGGATCTCACAACCTCAAGCTGATTGAAATGTTGTACACAGATGAGACAAACTTCATGGTTTCTATTCAAGTCTTGTTTGCTGCATTTTTTGACATTTATGCAAACGCAATCAATATCTACAGAAGGGGACATACGAATGAGAGGTTGAAATCATGGTAACCCCACCGGTTTCAGATAAGAATCTTACTGACCAGCTGATGGTTTTGTCAACAACTCCAATGATTTTCTTAGGTAGTCTACTGCAACTGAGACATCATCGAATGCTAGTGCCCCAACAGCAAATCTTGCAGCCTTGTGTGCCTCTGCAACTTTTTCAGGTGGCGGCTGGTAGTTACTGTCATACTGGTATGTCTGAGAAGTTGAAGTAGGTTCCAAGACAGTTCCATTTCGGCTGCTGGAATTCTGTGGGGCACTTGAAGAATAATTTGCAGTTAGAGGAGCTGACTCGGAAGAATATGAAGCACTAGAACCTTGGTAGTAATTTAGGTTTGAAGGGACTGATGGTAGACTGCTTTCTGTAAAGCTGGGATATGACTGAAAATGGGGATAAGAATAAGAAACGGGAGTTTCGTGAGAAGGATAACTAGAAGATAAATGCTGGGGGTGGTCTTGTGAATACTGCTGCTGATTGTAGAGCAGAGAATAAGAACTTTCTGATCTAGCCGGAGGTGGATGGTGGTAATCTTGGGAAAGTGGCGGAGGATGATAATCTTGGGAAGGCGGTGGAGGATGATAATCTTGGGAAGGTGGTGGAGGATGATAATCTTGATGAGGAGGAGAAGGATAATCTTGGGATGGGTAACTTGCAGAATGGTAAGAAGATGAGGGAGAAATGTTTGATGAATGCTGACTATTTTCTCTGTCATGGAACTGCAAAGGTGGAATGTTTGAAGAATGCTGATCATTAATGGTATCATGGAATTTAGGTGCTGGAGGAACGCCCGGCAATCCCGTGTAGTTGACAGGATCATTATAATTATGGGATGCATCAGATTGTGGTCCAGGACTGGCCAACGTATTTTCGGTAGTCCCGAGGTCCTGCAAGCAATTGAATGTTATGTGTATTTACATATATATGTAGCTTTTTTATCTTAATGTCTATTAAAATTAGATGTGAGCAAAGAATATTATTATCTTTACCAGCCCAACCAAGAACATCCCAGCTAAAAAAGAAAATCATAACATCTGAAAGGCAAGCTACTCAGTGATAAATAAAAGAAAAAATTAATCACTGGTCCCCACAGTTTTGCCTCAATTGTTACTCAGTCTCTGAACACTGATTCAATGCAACTTAGTGCTTATAATTTTGACTTGGTTGAAGCTCAGTCTTTAACCTTTGACTCAGTGCAACTTGGTACATAAGTTTAGCTATTTAAAGCATTAGTCCCTAAGTTTTTTTTTTTTTTTTTTTAATGTAGGTCTTATAATTTTATTTTCTAAAATGCAGAGACCAACAATTCAGATGGTCAAAACTATAAGGACCAAGGAGAAAAAAAACGGACCGGACCGGACGGTTCAACCGGAAAACCGGTGAATCGGTCTGAGGTCCGGTCTGGTTTGGCGTAAAAACCGACCTCCAGTTAAACCGGAACAACTCGGAATGAACCGGAATAAACCGGTAAAAACCGGGCAAACCGCTGACTTGATTGGGTTGGCCGGTTGGTTTTTTTCCCTGCTTCTTTCTTGCTCTCACCATTCGCCGAACGTCTCACCATTTGTGGAGACCATATACACTACAGAGATAAGTGGTAGAAGTAGAGAAGATTATTGAGGTGAAGGAAGACAGAACTTTGTTGGCTCCGCTTTGAAGCATACTTGTGAAAGACTAGAAGGCAAGTAGAAAAATAACAGGGAGAGTAAGATGAATGAATAAAGTGCAAGAGGAAAAATGGTGCCATTGTTCGCTGTTTCAGTGTTTCTTCGTCTGAGAAAGAAAGAGAAGTGAGAAGGTATGAAGCATTTTGAGAGGACAAAATGAGAAATGACAATGCGTGTTCAAGGAGGAGCTACCCCACCGCCTATTCTACTCTACTGCTCTGCTTGTTCAATATCCAAGGAGGAAAGAGGAAAGAAAAGCTGCTTTGTGATGCGTGACATAAGGATGCACATGGGAGAGAGAAGACATGGTAAAAACAATTTTGAAAAAACAAAAGGCTCCGTTGGGTGAAGTGAAAGAAAAGGTAAGGGGAAAAAAAAAAGAAGAAAGAATACCCATTAAAAATTAAATATTATTTTATATAATTAGAATATGAATATTTTTACCAATTTCAACTAAATTATATTATTTTAATTATTACCGGTTTGATCCCGGTCTGACCCCGATCTGACCCACTGACCTTTAAACCAGTATCTCAACCAGTTCATTATCCGGTCCGGTTTTTTGTTCCTTGATAAGGACTGACTTTGCATCAAGATAAAGTTTAAGGACTAAATTTCAACAAGCAAACACTATAAGAAATGAATTACATTCAGTTAAAGTTCAGGGAATAAGTTACGACAGGTCAAAACTATAAGAAACAAATGATTAATTTTCCCTAAATAAAAATTCATAATAAATCACACAGGGAGAAAAAAACAAGGGAAGAAAGAAATGGGCCATTTGAACCAAACATCAGCTTTGAATAGCAGAAATATTTCCTTATCTTAATACACAACTTAATTTCACAACATACATCATTATATAGACTTCCCTCTATTGTATTTGAAAAGCTTATTCTTCAATTCTGCATGCATTTTTACCTGAAAAAAGTGACGATGCGCAAAGAAAGAACTATGCCCTTATCATTAAAGTTGTTACAAAAACAGGGCCCAAAAACTATAGACCAACATGAAAGGAGGCTGAGAGGGACACAAAAAATGTCCATGTACAAAAATCAATTTAAAGTGAAACTGTTCATTATCAGCACAAAATGCGTGCGAATCCCTAGCGGATTTTCTTCATGACCCTCACTGACACCATACTGCACATGAAAGGGCTCTTGTCTCTTTTTTCCTGCCCTTAATGTTTCTGTAATTTATTAACAATCCCTGTAGTAATTATCTAAAATCTTCTCTCATGCAAAAATAATTTTTTTTTTTTTAATTGGTTTGTCAAGACAGATTCTGATGCTACAGAACATCAAATTGTTATGAAAGAACAAATTACAGCAGCTTTATGTCAGAATGATTACAAACAATATTTTATCGAAAACTAACACTAAGTTGAGTTAGAAACATACATCTTTGCCACTAGGAATACTTGACGGTATTGACAGATCCTCATCATCAGCAGGAGGACCAGCCATGGGCTTTCTTCCTTCTTTCAGAGCCTTCCTTATATCTGCTGCTTTCCAGGCCGCATATTTCTGCTTTTGCTCCAGCTGTAACAGCAATTCATTGAAGCATAAGGCCAACAGTGACGTCAACCCATACTATATTATCACTTTTACAAATTACTTTGAAATAAGTTTTAGCTTGCATATGCCATTGAAAATGCAGAAAGTGATTATTCAATCTATTACTCTGAAGCTTACATCAGGCTGGAGTGCTCCAAACTGGTTTAGAATCTCAAAAAAAATGCTTGCGGCATAAAATGTTTTTGCTGTGTTCCTGCCAAAATTCATAGATTTTAAATGTTAACAGCTGATTACTGAAGAAAATAAACTTTTAAAGCAGTAACTGTCGGCAAAAGAAACAACAAAAATTCTACATAGCAGACCAACCAGAAGAGAGAAGGGGAAAAAAATAAAAGGTCAAACGCAACCAAACCAGAAAACCCATACAAACATCATGAACAAGGATACTATTGTCAGTTCCACTATCTTAGGAGAATATCGAAACATTATTTGTTCTGTTTTCTATTACGTTATTGTCTTATTTTATCAAGTTATCAAATCAAGTTGTTAATATTTTATTGGCAAGAGTGTACCCTTAATCCTCTAACTTCACACAATGTTTCACTTTTATTCTTTAATTTTATAAAATGTCTTTTCAGTCCCATGACCTTGTAACTTCTCTGAATAGTATGCTGTATATTTCATTGAATAGGGTTTACATAATATATAGAGTAAAGAGAATAAACCTAATTAATGTGAATCTGATCACATCCCTTAAAATCCTCCTAAAGACAAGGAAATAATAATAGCCTGATTCTGTCATACTCTAACCGTTACAAGAGATACAGCTATTTAATTCTAGGAGATTCTAGGAGATTAGGCTAAAACTAATCAGTGGGCTTTTGAAAGTAGGCCCACTTTCCCACACTCCCCCTCAAGCTGATGAATAGATATTAATCATTCCCAACTTGTTCCTAAGATCTTCAAACATCTCAAGTTAAGGACTTTGTCATCACATCTGCAATTTGACTTCTTGAGGGTATATAGGCAAGATCAATTATCTTGTTGTCAATATTTTCCTTAATGAAATGGCGATCTATTTCCACATGTTTTGTACGATCATGATGTATGGGATTATTGGCAATTTTTATTGCTGAGATATTATCACATCAAACTTTTATCGGTGTGGTGTCCTCTACTCTTAGTTCCTTAAGGAGTCTTACAAGCCAAATTCCTTCACAGATGCCTAAGGCTAAGGCCCTGTATTCTGATTCTGCTGAACTTCTTGAAACGACTAGTTGTTTCATGCCCCTCCAAGTGACCAGGTGTCCCCATACATACGAACAATAACCAGTAATAGACCGTCTATCCCTTTTTGAACCTGCCCAATCAGCATCCGTAAAGAGCTCAATCTTTCTAGAATCACCTTTTGCAAAAAACAGACCTTGTCCTGGTGTTTTTTTTAGGTATCATTGACTAACCACACTAACTGGGTAGCAAATATCAAGCCTAGTGTGGGATAAATAGATGAGTTTCCCTACTAGCCTTTAATATCTCTCCTCGTTTACTGCTTCTCCATTTGGCTTGATTGTTAGCTTTTGATTAAGCTACATAGGAGTGTTAGCCGGTCGTGCACCCAACATCCCTGTTTCTCTTTGGAGGTCCAGTGTATATTTTCGTTGAGATACACTTATTCCCCTTTTTGTTCGAGCCACTTCCATGCCAAGGAAATACCTCAACTGACCAAGGTCTTTAATCTCAAATCTTGTTGCTAGACTCTCCTTTAGCTTTGCAATTTCTTTTTCATCATTACCTGTCAATACTATATCATCAACATGTACAATAAGTGCAATTAGTCTATCACCACAGTGTTTAATAAATAATGTGTCATTTGCCTGGCATTGCTTATAGCCCTGCCCTTTCAGGACTTGAGAGAATTTTTCAAAACAAGCTCTTGGAAATTGTTTTAATCCATACAAAGACTTATGCAGTCTGTAAACTTTCCCAACAGTTTTTGAGTTTCTCATCCCTAGGATTATTTCCATATAAACCTCTTCTTCTAAATCACCATTAAGAAAAGGCATTTTTAATATCAAGTTGGTGTAAAGACCAGTCTAAGTTTGCAACTAGGGATAAGAGAACATTTATAGTATTAATTTTTGCTTCAGGTGCAAAGTCTCTTGATAATCTATTCCATAGTTTTAAGTAAATCCCCCAGCGACTAAGGGTGTCTTATATTTGTTTATACTTCCGTCAGGATTATATTTCACAATGAATACCCATTTGCTACTTACCATTGATTTACCTTTTGGCAACGTTGTAATTTCCCAGGTTCCATTCTTATGTAAGGCTCTTAATTCTTCCTCAATAACTTGCTTCCAATTCGGGTCTAAACTGGCCTCATTAAAGCTTTGAGGAATTTCACACTTTCTATATTGGCCACAAAAGTTTTAAGGTAAGGAGAAAGCTTACTGTAGGACACATACTTACTGATAGGATGTTGAGTGCAGCTTCTCTTTCCTTTCCTTAGGGCAATAGGCCAGTGAAGGTCTTCAAGACTTGGTTCAGTAGTCGAGTCATGGTGCTGTGTGGGTGTAGTAATGGGTCTGTTTTCACTGTTTTGTCGCTCTGTAATGGTAGTAGGTTGTTCTATCATAGTTTCTGACATAATCTGATCATAAACAGAATGTAGAGGTTCAAAGGGGTTTGTGTCATGGAGTGCAAATCTGGTTGGGGTAGTTTCAACATTGTTTAGAATCTGTTCAGTGTTATTATGGGACATGTGGGTTGGTTCTGTAGGTTCTGTACGTACATTAGGGAGGATTTGGGGGTCTATAAAGTCTAGGTTGTTTAAGAGGATAGTCTGCCAGCTAGAGTGATCACAAATTATCCAATCACTTTTCTGGTTCTCCCCTTGAGTGGATAATTTTGGGTAATATGGCAGGCTTTCTACAAACTTAGCGTTCATAGTAATGTAATATTTGTTTGTAAGAGTAGAATAGCATTTATACCCTTTTTGGCTTGAAGAGTAGCGAAGAAAAATACATTTGATAGCTCTATGGTCTAGTTTCCCACCATGGTCATTGTAGACAAAAACAATGCACCCAAAGATCCTCTTTGGAAGTGATGTAAACAGTGATGAATGTGGATAAAGGTCAAGAAGTTTTTGTAGTGGGGTTTGAAAATTTAAAACTTTGGAAGGCATTCTATTTATTAAATGGGCAGCAATTAGTATAGCATCCCCCAAAAATGATTAGGAATATTTCTTTCAAACATAAGTGCCCTAGCTACCTCAAGGAGATGTCTATTTTTCCTTTCAGAGACTCCATTCTGTTCTGGGGAATAAATACATAAGTTTGATAATGAATACCATTAGAGGCCAGAAAATTCGTAAAAGAATTTAAATATTCTTTCCCATTATCTGATCTAAAAATTTGAATAGTTGTGTGAAATTGGTTTTCAATAAAGGCATAGAATTGCTGGAAGACAGAGAAAACTTCAGATTTATTTTTCATGAGGAAAACCCAAGTTAGTCTTGTGTGATCGTCGATAAAAGTGACAAACCAGCGAGCTTTAGAAGTAGTGTCAAATTTAGAGGGACCCCAAACATCACTATGTATAAGATAAAAGGGACGAGGAGGTGTGTAGTAGTGACTAGGATAGGGGTTGTGAACTTGTTTTGCCAAATAGCAGGTATCACAATGAAATTCATTATTAGACCTTTTGGTAATATTAGGAAATAAAATTTGCATATAGTGCAAACTAGGGTGGCCCAACCTAGAGTGCCACAACATTATTTCATCGATAGTCATAGTAGATAAAGCAGTGCTGCAAATTGATTTATTTGGGGAGGTTCCTTGGATTTTGAAAACCCGTTCCACACTTTAGCAACTCCAATCCTCTTACCTAATGCCAAGTCCCGAAAGACACAACTAGTGTTGTCAAAGGTAATAATACAATGCAATTGGTCAGCAACTTGTTTTACAGACAGCAAGTTGCATTCAATCTCTAGGACATACAAAACATCGTTTAATACAATGTCTGTTGAAATTACAACAGTTTCGGACCCCTGAACCTTAGCAAATTGGCTATTAACAACTTTCATAGTTTTATGATTCAGTGTTATTAGAATCGTGCAATTCGGGATACGAATCGCACGATTCGTTACAGAAAATGCACTGGGAGATACGAATCTCCCAGTGTATCTCAAGGGCTTCTGAATCGAGCCCTGAATCGCGCAATTCACACCGGAATCGCGTGAATCGCGCGATGCCGGCGAATCGCGCGATTCTGGGCAGCGTCGGGTCGCGTAGATCCGACCCGGATCTTGCGCGACCCGACACGATGAAACCGTCGTTTTACCTTCTTTTTTTTTTTTGAATTTTTGCTTTTTTCCGGTTTATATAAGGAAGCAAACGACCCAACCCTTTTTTTTTATTCCCCTGGTCTTCTTTTCACGTTTTAGTCTCTATCTTGTGCCCCACGCTTCTTTTCTTCTCTTCCGTCGGTTCGTGGCTGAAATTTGAAGCTTTCAAGTTTGAATATTGAAGTCTCAAGTGTCCTCTTTTGCTGGTTCTTTCTCTTCTCTTCTATTCTGTGGTATTTTTTTCCTCTATTTTTTTTATTGGATATTATATTGGTGGGAAAAATGAGTCAGAATCAGAATAAGAAAAAAAAGGAAGCTGACATTACATGGAAACATTGTGAAAGTGTTCCTCCCCATAGACTTATGGTTAAATGCAAATACTGTTCACATCAATGTTGGGGTGGAGTAGCCAGGATGAAACATCATTTGGCAGGAACCAGAGAAAATGTGAGTCCATGTACAAGTGTTCCCGATGAAGTTAAAAAGTTGTTTGTTAAAATGCTAGAAAATAAAGAAAAAAATAAAGATGCTATTAGTGTTGAAATATTTGAAGAAACAACTGCTCAAGATGCTAAGGGGAAGGAAGGGACATCAAAAACTATCAAACAAAAAACAATGAATGAGATGGTAAAAGATAGAGATTTAGTAATTCAAGATATTTGTAAATGCATCTATGGTAATGCTTTACCATTCAATTTGGTAAGAAGTCCACTATTTATTCAAATGTTAAAATCTGTTGGTGAATATGGTAGGGGTTTGAAACCTCCAAGTTATCATGAGGTGAGAGTTTCTCATTTAAAAAAAGCTGTTGATAAAATTCAAGAAAGTTTAGTGAAGTATAAGAAGGATTGGGAGAAATGGGGTTGTACTTTGATGTGTGATGGTTGGACTGATGGTAAAAGGAGGTCTCTTACTAATTTTTTAGTTAATAGTCCTAGTGGGACAGTCTTCCTAAAGTCAGTGGACACAAGTAGTGTGATTAAAGATGCTAAACAAATGTTTGAATTACTAGACAATATGATTGAGGAAATTGGAGAGGATAATGTGGTGCAAGTTGTGACAGATGGTGCCTCAAATCTTGTGGCAGCAAGGAAGATGTTAGAAGAGAAGAGAAAAAAATTATTTTGGTCTCCTTGTGCAGCTCACTGCCTTGATTTAGTCCTTGAAGACATTGGGCAACTTCCGGTATTTTATAATACCATCACCAATGCAAAGAAAATAACAACATTCATTTATAGGCATACATGGGTCTTGAACTTGTATAGAAAATATTCCAAGGGACGAGAATTAGCTAGACCGGCAGTGACAAGATTTGCAACAGCTTATCTTACACTAAGTTGCATATTCCGGCAAAAGAATGCTCTTCGAACCATGTTTGCTTCAGATGATTGGGTTTCTGGTTCTTTTGCTAGTAAAAGTGAGGGTAAGCAAGTGGCGGACATGATTTTTGGGGATTCTAGATTTTGGAGTTCCATCAAATATTGCTTAAAGTGTGTGAGTCCACTTGTAAAAGTTTTGAGACTTGTAGATGGTGACTCTAAACCTGCTATGCCATATATTTATGAAGCAATGGATAGGGCCAAAGAAGAGATTGCTGACAATTTTGAAAAGAAAGAATCAAGGTATAAAAAGATATGGAAGATTATTGATACTCGTTGGAATTTGCAACTACATAGACCCCTCCATGCGGCTGCCTACTTTCTTAATCCTAAGTAAGTTTTATACAATTTAAAGTTTAAAATTTAAATATTTATATTTATTATTTAATTGTATGCTAGAAAAAGATAACTTATTCATTATTTTTTTAGGTTCCATTATGATGAAAAATTTAATGCGGATCAAGAAGTTTATTTTGGTTTATATGAAACTATTGAGAGAATGATTCCGGATAGAAAGACAAGATTTTTAGTTGATCAACAACTCGAGGCATTCAAGTCTGCTAAGGGACTTTTCGGAAGGAGCATGGCAATAGATACTAGAAACAAAAAGCAACCTGGTATTATTCTCTAGTCTATACTATCTATAAGAATTTAATTTTTAACCTTAATAATAAATCTGAATTTTGAAAAACATTCCTAATTATTGTTTTTTTTTTAGCTCTTTGGTGGGAAAGTTATGGAGGAGAAGGTAGAGTTACAAAAGATAGCTATGAGAATTTTGAGTCTCACATGTAGTGCTACTGGATGTGAAAGAAATTGGAGCACGTTTGATCAAATCCATACTAAGCGAAGGAATCGCTTAGAACAACAAAGGTTGAATGCACTTGTATTTGTCAAGTATAACCTTCAACTTGAGATGAGACAGAAGATTAGAGAGGAAAAGGGAGAGACATATGATCCCATTTGTTTATCAGATATTGAATCTGATGATGAGTGGATCACTGAAAAAGAAAACCCATGCTTGCCAGTAGATGGGTTATGGATGGACATACATGAGAGTTTCACTCTTGATGAAAGAGCTCCAAGCAAGAAAAGAGAGGTATAATATTTTAAAACTAAATTTAAGTTGATTTTAGTTTAAATATATATCATCATACTTATTAAGTTTTTTTCCCCCCTTAGGTCCAAGAAATTTGAATGCCAAAACCAATAGCAAAGGGAAATCTATAGTAGAACAAGAGAATGAGAATGAAGATAATGTTGAAGATGGGGAAGAAGAGGATGATGAAGAAATGACATTGTTAATGGAGGATGATCATGAATTGAGTGACATTGATCTTGGAGATGATGAATGATGGATTGAATTTTATGTTTACTGACTTTAGTCTTTTTAAGTTAAGAGTTTGACTTTGAATTTTGAATGGATTTTGGGGACTATTTATCTTTAAAATTTCATATATTGGTTATTTTATTTTTTTGGGGCAATTTATAGCACCTAATATTTACAAACTTTTAATATTTTTTATGTGAAAATTACTTATACATTATCCTTAATAATTGTTCATGAATCTTACAATTCACGATACAGTACGATTCAAGATTCATAAAACTGGCTTTCCGATACACGATTCGTATCCTGATTTGATAACCATGTTATGATCAGAAAAATCATGGAATTTAGTGAATAATTCCTTAAAACCAGTAATATGGTGAATAGCACCTGAGTCAACGATCCAGAGATTTTTAGAAGTCTCACTAGCAGGGCAAGAGTGAGGTGTTTATCCAAAAGTTTGCGTAGTAGCAGTAACTCTTCATGGCTCATAGATTCTGGAACAGAAGAAGTTCCAAGTAGTAGGCCCTTACTTCCAGGTTTGCCTTTTTGTTTGTTGTTGGGAGGCTTGCCATGCAGCTTCCAACATACTTCTCGAGTGTGACCATTTTTGTGGCAATGATCACACCACTTGGAAGGTTTTTTGGGCCTTGTGTCACCTTGAGAACCTTGGATAGCAAAGGCAAAAGAGTTAGCAGGAATAGTAGAGGTTAGTGAGTACCTTCCTGCTTTCTTCAAATTTGACAGTCTTAAATGCTTCGAGCAAGGATGGAAGGGGCTTGAGACTCATAATTCCACCGCGGACATCCTCATAAGTCATCAAGTCCATGTAGGAATTTGTAGCAACGTTCTTAGTCTACCTATTTTTTTGTAGTACATGGCTGCGACAATATTGGGCCATTCATGGACCTCAGAGATCTATTTGCTGCCAAAGCTTCATTAGAGCAGTATAATAATGGGTGACAATTTGTTCACCTTTTACCAAATCATGGAGTCGGCGTTTGACTTGAAACAGGGCAACAGTGCTTTCTGTAACAGAATAGGCGGCTTTTGCAGAGTCCTAGATTTCTTTGGCTGTAGTGACAAGGAGGTAGTTCTCGCCAATGTCGACTGCCATAGAGCTTACCAACCAAGCCATGACTAGGTTGTTCTCTGCGGACCAGGTAGCGAATTGAGGGTCTGTAGATGCTAGTGGAGGTGGATTTCCAGTGAGATAGCACTCCTTATTACGACCCCAAATGAATGAGAATGTAGCGTGACCATTAGAGATAATTATTTCCATCTAAACGATGGGTGAGGGGAATTTGGGAGAAGGCATCGCTCATGCCAACCCCTTGTGCTATTGTGCTGCTGCTGAGATTCGTGGCTGCATAAGTGCTGCCTTGAAAGACACAAAGGGTGGTTGCTGTTAAAGCTCTGATACCATGTAACTTCTTTAAATAGTACGATTTATATTTCACTGAATAGGGTTTACATAATATATAGAGTAAAGAGAATAAACCTAATTAATGTGAATCTGATCACATCCCCTAAAATCCTCCTAAAGATAAGGAAATAATAATAGCCTGATTCTGTCATAATCTGACCATTACAAGAGATACAGCTATTCAATTCCAGGAGATTCGGGGAGATTAGGTTAAAACTAATCAGTAGACTTTTGACAGCAGGCCCACTTTCCCACAACACAATTAACAAAAAGATGTTGACATGAAAATTTTAAATGTTGACAAAACATTAACAACATTAGGGTTAAAAAATAGAAAATATACTATAAAATTAAGAAACCAAATTGATATCTTGTCTAAAGTTAGAGGACCAACAGAATACTTTTACGGGGCTTGCTAATGGGTAATAGCATTACGTTAAAATTGTGCAATTAAACATCATGAGGTCTGCTCTGGTGAGACCTTAGCATTAAATGCTAGCATTAAAACTGGTGAGACCTTAGCATTAAATGCTAGCATTAAAACCTATTACAGAGCACTGGTGAGACCTTAGCATTAAATGCTAGCATTAAAACCTATTACAGAGCAGACCTCATGATGTTTAATTGCACAATTTTAATATAATGCTATCACCTATCAGCAAGCCCACCGTTATAAGTCTCTGTTAACCTACTAGCCACGAGTCTACCCTTATACCTACAAATACTGCCATGAGGGTGATATTTGATGGGGAAGACCCACTGCCAATCATCTACAGAATTTCCTTCAGGTAAGACATTCAATACCTATGTCAAATTCTTTCAAGAGCTCTTAGTTCAGCTTGTATGTATTCTAGCCACCATGCATTCTTCATGGCTTCCTAAAAGTTCTCAAGTAGTCTTTCATTTGATAGTTGAGTAATAAATGATTGACATTGTCAAAATAGTCTTTTATAGGAAATAAATTTACTTATCAAAACTCTTATGCAAGATTGTTTTCCCTTTCCTCAAGGCTATTGGCTACCCTAACTCCTCAAAACTTGAAGCAGAGTTTGATTCACAGACTTGCCCAAAAATAATATGGATTATTTATGCCTAGGTTCAAGCTCCAACAACTGCTCCACAATAGTCTATTCTCTCCTTTTCCTTGAGCAGATCTTGGGATTCTTAGACTTAGGTTTGTGCACCCTGGTCTCAATATCATCCTCATTATCAAATTTATCCTATTCTGAGGAATAGGGTTCATTTTCAGGTTCAGAAGTTGAACCAGATCTCTTCTCACTCAAATCAGGTTTGGATTCAAGTTTGGTGGCCTTTGATATGAGTCTTTTTAATCCATGACGTTCTACTAAGGGCATAGGAGGTATGATATGCTAACATGTTCGACTTGGTGTAATATTGTTCCCAAAAAGACCCATTCACTCTCCCTACTCTTCCCCCGAATGGGTCATTTTGGATAAAAAGGCTGATTTTCTAAGAAAACTACATCCACAGTGATTAGTGACAAAGTATTTGTTGAGAGTAACAGGGAGAAAAAAAACATTTATGATCCTTTTAAGTGGAAGAATACCCCAAGAAGATCCACTTATAGGCATAAGGCTCCAATAAGCCTTCATTATACTTGTGCACAAAGGTGGACCCAAAACTTTTTCAGGTATAGTTGTGATAAAGAAAACAGAAGGATATTCTACAATCAATGGTGCAAGGAATCCCAATGCGTCTGAAGGCATTCTGATTAAGAAGAAAGCATAAGCAAGATTAGCATCCCCCGAGATGACTAGGAATGTTGGCAGTAAGCTAAACTGCAAAAGAGACCTAGCACCCTCAAGCAAATGCCTATTCTTTCGTTCAAAGACACCATTTTGTTGTGGTGAATCATCACTCCAAAGGATTTGGATTCAAGCATGAAAATGATTTCATATGAATGAATGAAAATGCTATACTGTTTGGATTACTTTTGATTTCTTTTTCAAATATAGCCATGTCACCTTGTACAATCATCTATGAAAGTCACAAGCCACTAAAATTACTTTGAGTTTTTACTTTTGATGGCCAACAAATATCACTATCAAGTTTTTACGTTTAAGTAGGAATTTCTAGAATGAAAGAGAGGGAATGTTGTTAGTTTCGAGATTCTAGGAGTAGATTGAGATATTATTAGTATGTGTTTAATTATGATTTCACTTTGGCTTTGTTTTGTGATATTTGATCATTAGATCAGGTTGTTAGTATTTTATCTATCTGTTCCTCATCTTCAAGGATTGCATCACAATCCCTCTCCGCAGTGTTTATTTATTCTACAGAACATTAATGAAACTAGGATGCAATGCACAGAAAGCAAATAAGTTCTCTCGCTTTCCTCAAAATTTCTCCCTATATGTAGAAAAGCAATGAATAAGATCATGAAGGGGAAAAAATTGATCCTCTAAAACAAACGTTGGGGATCCCAAGTATCTAAAATCTTAACTACAGAAAAAGTGAAATAAACAAACAGAAAATAAGATGAAATACTGTTTATAGGAATGAATAGAATAAGATGCTTTGAATATCCACGCAGGAACTATAAATAGTAATAGGTTCCCCAAGTTCCCAAACACATTATAATGAAAAACTTAAACAACAGAATAACATACTGACAGTATCTAATCCAAAGTCGTGATTCTTCCATGTTCTTGCTTGTCAGCTTATATAAAAGATAAGAGAATGACAGCATAACATACTAACAGTGGAACAGACAAGCTTAAAAGATAATTACAGCTTATATAAATGGTTAACATACAAATCTGAACGTCCAGCACGATCTTGCTTGTCAGCCTTCGCAAAGACGTTTAAGGCAAATCCCTCTAGATGTAAATTATCATCAGGTCCCAGCTTGATTGACTTTTTATCCTGAATGGAAGGAAAAAAGCTAATCATTTGGATCAACTACAAGCGCTTAATACTAATGGCATGAAACCAAATCACCTTATTAAATTAACATTTAAATTTTAAGATCTACGAAATCAAATAATAAGAGGTTATTACAGAACAGCACATTAAAAAGATAATAAAAAGGCTCATCGATAGTAGGATCCCATTCAAACCGGACGAAAAAATAACCGCAGACTGTCATTGAAACATATGGAATCATAAGCAAGTTTTAGGCTCCAAAATCTAGCTCCAAACACTCAATGACAGTGACAAGAAATCAGGAAATTGAAGATAACTAGAAAGAATAATCAAAGACTAGCGCGCTCATGACAATTTCTCGCATAAATATTAATAAGAAAACAATACGTTACTATGAAAATTAAAATTGGTGGAACTAGTAAAAACTATCATACTTCAAACCTACTTACACAACTGAAGGCGATCTCAACAAAATTGTCACACAACAGCATGCACTTTCATCTCACAAACCTAGGAGAGCGATTAAAGTTCACAACATGATGAAAACTAACAGCACTGTGATTGCACCTTTTCGAGCTGGTTCATGAGCGATACAAGTAGAGCATTTGTGGTCTTGGTGCGTTCACTCTGAGGAATCTTCAATCCACGTTCCATAGCATACAACCGACCTTAATTTAGCATATTCAAAAACCCCAACAAAAAAAAAAAGAGGGAAAAGTAGGGTATCAGAATCTTCCGTTCACGCTCTAAACCAAGCTCAGTTGGATCAACGGGGAAAATCAGAAATTCCTAAACAAGAAATTTCAAAAGACGCGAAGAAATAATAAAGAAAAATTTGCCATTGATCTGAAAACGGATCCAAAATAAGAAGAGGGCGATTTACAGTAATATGCCACAAGAGGTTCATGCTTTTGCAACTCATCGGCACGTTGAAGGTACGGTAAGAGGAGCTTTGCTGGCTCACTTTCACTCGCCATCTTCGATCTTCCCGAGTTATCGAACAGAGCGGGAACAGCGATTTTGATCTTGATTCCAGAGAAGGGCAGGACGCAGCAGGCGGCTCTTTGGGAATAAATCAGGAGTTCGAACCGACGCGTTTCGAGGAAGCTGACGTAGAGGCATAATTTTTCCCGGGAGAAAGAAATATAAAGACCTAGAAAATCACCATATAACAGGAAGTAAAAGTTAAAAGATAGAAAAAAAAGGGAAAATTGCAACAAAAAAAAAAGACTTTGGAATGGTAAAAACGCAAATAGAAACTCTTGACAACTTCACTTTGGGTTTTAACAATAATAATATGTCATAAATTGTCAAAACCCAAAGTGAAGTTGTCAAGGTCCTATCTGCGTTTTTACAATTTTAAGGTCTTTTTTTACAATTTCCCAAAAAAAAAGTCTTAATTATTTTCCAAAGTTCTGATCAAGTCACAAAACTTAAAATCTTATAAAATAACTCTAATATCATTTTTAGTAGGAGGAATTTCTATCATTCCTCTATTACATAAGAGCTTTAAACGACACAAGCATTCTATTTAGGAACTTAAAATCTTATAAAATAACTCTAATATCTTTTTTAGTAGGAAGAATTTCTATCACTCTTCTATTGCATAAGAGCTTTAAACGACACAAGCATTCTATTTAGGAGGCAAGGGTAAGTTAAGTTTATCTCTTTATAAAATTGTTAATTTAAAATTAAAACGTATGAACTGTGAAATAGAATATGTTAATTTTTAAGGTCGTATGATAACAAAGATTTATTCATGAACTTACAACAAGTGTGTTGTAAAGACAGAAAATTATTAATTTAGAATTAAAATGTGTTTAACTATAAAATGAAATATATTAATTTTCAAAGTTGTATTGAGATCGAGTTTTATTCAAAGACTTGTTGAAAATGTGTTTATAGAAACCAAAAGTTGTGAATTTAGAAATGAAATTATATTAACTATGAAATAGAACATGTTAATTTTTAAAGTTGTATTGTGAACAAATTTTATTCAAAAGCTTGTTATAATTGTGGTGTAGAGATATAAAAGTGTAAATCTAGAGCTAAAACTTGTTAACTACATAATTGAACTTACTAATTTTTAAGGTTGTATTATTATCGAGTTCAATTCAAAGATTTATACAAGTGTATTATGGAGATAAAAAGTTGTTAATTTAAAATTAAAATGTTTTAAGTACGAAATGAAATATATTAATGTAGAATTCTCCTTTGGTTATTGATAAAAAGGGCATTAAAGTTATTTTATAAAATTTTAAAATACTTCTTTGTGTCATGTGATCTAATTAGAAGTTTGATAAATTTAATGACCGGCATCAGAATTTAAGTTATTTAAGTATCTTTTTAAAAAAAATTTTCTAAAAGATAAGCATCCAGTAAAGCTTTCAAGGAAATTATAAATATCCTCACAAACTACATTCGGCCAAGCAAAGTTGGGGCACTTGACGGAGAAAAATTGTCTCCTGGTGCCGCTGATTTTGTCATGATACAAGGCCTAATGAAAATAGGCCAAAATTGAATATGGGCTTTAGATGAAGTAAGTTGCTTGGAAAATATGTCCAAGGGTTTGAACCAATGATTTTAAAACCGGACCGAAACCGAACGGTCGGACCGGTGACCGAAGTATTAAACGGTTCAGTTTCTAGTTAGCAGCCATTTCAGAGGTTAGCCCGTGTTGAGCCGATAAAAACCGGCTTTTGATCTGGAAACTGGAACGGATATTCAAAAACCGGACGATCATGAGAAGGGGTTTAGAAGAAGAAGGAGGAGGAAGAGGGGCAGAGGAGGAGGAAGCAGCAAAAAAAACCAGTGCCTACTTTATGATTTTTCCTCTTTAATAATAACAAAAAAAATGATTCCTTTAATAATAACAGATATGGGGAAAAAATTGGCGATGAAATCAAATAAAACCTGAACCATTTGCTAACCATGGCCTTCCCATATGCTTGAGCTCGGAGGAAGAAGAAAGAAGAAATACAAGGAAGACGAGAAAAAATGAGAAGGGAAGACCGAGAACTAACACAGGAAAAAAAAATAATTATCCATACTCTCTTTCTTCTGCCATTTTTACTATTTTCAATGTACATAAATTTAATTTCACCCACTAGCTAAACACATTCATCAAGGCAAATGAATCCTATCATTACTCTGACATTTTGAATGACCATCCAGCATCTTTTTAAATTCAAGATATTTGTGCACTTTCTTTTTCCCTCCCTTATTTTTTGATTCTTTGTTTTTTTACTTTTATTAAATTTTTTGAAATTCACACATTGTTTATTTAGTTTTTACTTTTATCCAAGATATAAACATATGCGGTTTTGAGATATATTATTCCCTTATAAGTTGTCAATTTATCATAAGATTAAGCCACTTAAGTTTTTTTTAAATTATTTGATAACTTGATATTTTATTATATATATAAGTATAGAGTATTTAATATTATTTTTTATTTAATTATTATGTTACCGGTCTGACCAGTCCGACCGAATGAACCGTGACTCGTTGGCTTCTCCAGTTTAACATCCGGTCCGATTTTTAAAACATTGGTTTGAAGAACATAGGCTCTGTTTGGTACATAGTACTAAAGGGGTTGACTTTGGCATTGGCATTGGGAATGCTCATTTTGTGATGTTTGGTGTAAGGACCTCAGTAATCCCAGGACTCCCCAATACCACCTTTCATGGGATTGCCTAGTACCACCCTACCCCCTGGTATTGGAAAATCAATCCTGGGATTGAACTTTTTGGGACCAAGTTACCCCTTACCCATTCTTGTTTCTCCCTTATCCATATGTCTTCTCAATCTCCCTCCTTCTCTTCCCCCCCAATTGTGTACCCATTGTCAACTTCGACCTCCATTGTTGGCCTCATCCTCCACTGCTTGCAAAGGTCGATGGCAAGATATTACAAACAACTAGTATTATGAAGCATTCAGAATCCATTGATGTTAACGATTATGAGAGCACCTACTCCGAATCTATCCATTATCGATGGCGACTAACTTGGTCCTCTACCTCTAGCTTCGTCACAACCATCCTAAACAATGGCGGCCACCTTCATCATCTATTGTCAATGGCAACCAGCTTCTTTGATAAAGGTGATTTTTTGAATAGATTTGGATCTTAGTTTTATGCATATAAATCTAGATCTAGTACAATTAATTTTTTGAAGATAGATTTTGATCTTGGATATCCTCCATTATTGACAGTCACCAGCTTCTTTGACAAAGGTGATTTCTTGAACAGATCTAAATCTTGGTTTTTTGCATCTAAATCTAAATCTAGTACAATAAGACATTCGAAGACAGATTTGGATTTGGGAGTTTATGTTGGATCTAAAGCTTGCTTCAAAGTAAGGTAAAGAAGAAGAAGAAAGGCGTGAGGAAGGGAGAGGATGATGGGTTTTTTTTATGGGTATTTTAGGCACTTTGTATTTTTTATTTTGTTTTTTCTTTTTCTAATTCATTGATCCTATAAGCAATCCCATGACATGCCAAACGTAATTTTATAATTCAATCCCAGTCTCAATCCTAATACTAATCCCAATGCCAATCCTATTCTCATTCCCTTGAAATCTAGTGCAGCGTACCAAACATGACCATACGTTATAGAGGAAAGGGAAGGAACCGTGAGAAGGGATGGATTTATGAAGTTTCCTTCTCTCTCATGTGTCTTCTCTCTCTAGCCATGTCACTATCTTTGTGATTGGATTTTCTTATTTGCTACTTCTCCTTGATCTTCCGTAATTGTGGTTATGCCCTTTTTTCATTTTCAATTTCTATAGCTCTATAATTTCTTTTACTCTTGTTAAATTTTGAGATTATAACAAATGGTGCTTTCGTTAAGAGAAACCCCTTCCACTAGAATTGTACGGAAATTTCCTCCTACTCTAATAGTCAAAACTGTTTCCAGATTTTAAGCCTTAACTTTGAAAAATTATCATAAATCGTACACATATCTAAATGAAGTGTTATACCTATGGATTTAAAGCTTAGAGAATGTACTTTAATCATGCCAAATTTCAGAATCCGATATAAACAGTAACTTAATCAAAATAGGCATCAAGACAGGTGCTAGAATCATCATATACATTGATCTTGAAGCTTGAATTTTGTTCCTTCTTCTTGGCCTTCACTCCCACATTTTCTCTCTAAATTTTGACAAAGTTTTCCCTCTAAAAAAGCTTGCCAAAATGCTCTTCCAAGGAGGTATTTATAGCCAAAACTTATACGTTTAATGAACTATTATGCCCTTGAAAGCTGGTAGAAATTGTAAGAGCAAACTTGAAACTTTAAGTGCACTTTTACATTATCAATGCATCATCTTCTTGCATCATCTCTTACATCATCCTTCTAGAAGAGAGTTAGGTGGCACAAATCTAATGGAGACGAATGGAAGGATAGATCTTGGCCTTTGGATCAAATTTAATCTCTAAGTTTCCTTCCAATTTACTTGGGTCACATTTATTTGGCTTTCTTATTGGCTTTCTGGAGCTCAAAAAATTCTTCTGTTTATTTCATAAATTTTCTTTAGTTCCAAAAAAGATCTATGAATTTTCTCCAAGCATAACACTTCTTTTAAGTCTCGCATAAAAATCATTTACTAAAATGCTCTTAACCTGCATAATTGAGCTTTCTATTTTACTCTAGTCATTCTGCTGATCTTCTAGAAGCGAGACTAATTTTATAAATTAACATAGCCTTTAAGCTTCCTAACCTCATTTTTATGTATATTTTTTTAGATCTATTGCTATCTTAAATAATTACCTCAATCTGTGTACTTTTTACCGAGTCATAATCTTGTAAATTCTATTTAAGTTGCCTCAGGGGTATTTTTATCATTTCTCTTCACAAAAGAGTCTTAAGATAATATTTTCTATTTTTTGGAATTTTTCTGGAATTTTCTGTATACTTTCCATTCTTAGCCCTATTGGCCAGTAACTTTCTAAAATTACGATTTAATCCCTACTTGAACTTAACCTCATAAAACATCTCTTTGAGGTTCTAACTTCACTTTTGGTCTGTATCTAGTCTTTTTTTCTTTCCGTGTCCTTG